GAGAGGAGAGGAGAGGAGAGGAGAGGAGAGGAGAGGAGAGATAAAATCATGGTTCAATACACGTAGCAAAGAAATTAGATCTAGGCAGTAAGGAATACTAGCAGTAGGAAGGGAGGAATTTTTTTATTTATTAATACATTTTTATTAATTATAAATTACTTTAATATGTTTTGAAAATAAGCAACCTGAAGTTGGGACCAACCAGTGTAGGTTGCTGAACACTTTGATCTCCTGGTGGTTCTTTAGTCCCTTTGAGGAAATGAGATTTGAGCTTTCACTTTTAAGACTTTCACATTATCTACATTCTCTCCCCCTCACACACCCCCTTTAAAAGATGTTATCACTGAAGGCCAAACATTTTTTTTATCAAAGACAATATGTGGTAAACATTCTTCTTGTGAGAATATCTCTGGTCAGTTTATAGCAGCTCTTGAATAAATTTGACAGAACTAATGGGATAGATGAAGTCACTTTGCAAAGAACTCTCAATCTGCCAATTACTGATTTTTCACTTTAAGTTACCCTGCAGTTTTGAAAGATTTTTCAAAATATTCCTATCTTCCAGATTCTACTTCCAGAAAGGAATTACAGAAGAAATAAAAGATGTTGTAAACTTTATGACATCTTTAATCAGCAAAGAATGTTCAGGAAATGAGGACCTCACCTACCTGACCCTGAGGGTATTTGTTTGTGAAAGTACTTCTTTTCACTATTACAGATGAATATTCCTTGGTGGGGAGAAAAAAAACTCACTTGTATTTTTCTGTTGTGGTTCACAGGCCATTGGCAATATGGGAAACGTTTTGGAAAATGTCAATCCCAGTGTGAAACAATCCCTAAAAGCATGTATTCGAAGTAATGTTGCATCCCCTGATATCCAGAAAGCAGCTATTCAGGCACTGAGAAAAATGACTATAAATGATGAGGTAAAACAGACTATTTATAACTTATTACTTATAACTTTTTCATATATTTTGTTTCTGATGGGTAATCAAACAAATCTCACACTTTGGTTAAATTAGTTTCAAGGCATTGCTTTGATTAACGGTGAATTAATGATTCTATTAATCATATTAATACTTGAAATGGACTTTCAGCATTTTGATTTTCCGTGAGGATCTAGCTCAAGGTATGTGATTCTTTTATTTGTATAATAGACTTTTGGCAAGTTAGATAATCACAGAAGTGAATCCTAAACATTTCCTAACATAGCAATTAAAGTATTCACAGCTGCTGCCATACTGATCCTTTAGGAAAGTACTATCATTTTCCTTTTGTTTCAGGACCGCGGAATGCTTATTAGAGTCTTCCAGGAAGCCTCTTCTCCAGCTAATAAACGTTTAGCAGCTTACCTCATGCTGATGAGAAACCCTTCTTCATCTGATATTTCAAAAGTCATTAAAGTTGCTCTGAAGGACAAGAATGAACAAGTCAAAAGTTTTGTAGCTTCCCACATTGCCAATATCTTAGATTCTACTGATTTTTACAATGAACCGTAAGTCAAGCTATTTTAAAATCTGCTGAAATTGCTTCACTATCTTTTAGTCGAAATTGTGCTTATAACCTTAATGAATAACTTCAGTAACCTAACTAAAGCATGATTGCATAAGGATGTTCAGTGAGGCCAAAATCAAATGAACTAACCTCAATGACATTGTATGGGGGCTAAAGAGTACCTCTTCCCCCGTCATGGCATTAATCAAAGACAAAGTGAGTTGAACAAATCAAAAAGTGTACCTGCTCACAAATGAAAGGACTTTCCAAAATTCTCTGTGCAACCTTGGTGCTCTTGGAACTTCTTTCTGAAAAGCAATAAAGGCAGAAGGAAAGGCCTAAGTAAAGTTGCTGCCTTTGGGAAGCAGTTTATTAACTAGGGGTGGTTGATGCCTTGAGGATCCTGTCTCCGCCTTTTAATTTTGTCTGTAGTCTTTTAATGCATTTTGTAGTTTTTAAATGTTTTTATCTTTCTTGTGAGCTGCCTAGAGTCACTGATAGTGAGATAGGTGCCATATAAATTTGATTTATAAATTAATTAATTAATCTGAAGCTGTGAGACAAAGTTGCCTTCTCTCCTATCCACCTATCTAAACTCCAACCTTTTTTCTTTTTTTTTTACAAACCTGTTCTAAGTGAAGGGAACAAGGACTTTTAGGAAAGAAATTCTCTAAATAACACTTAATGTTTTTATTGTGCTTTCATGCCAAGTAAAATTGTCTATTCTCTGAGGACTCTTAAAGCCCACAATTTTAATTAGAAAGTGATTGTAGGGATTTTTGGCTACTGTTTAATTGGTAGGGCTGTAGTGAAGTAGTAAATTCAGAATTTAGTTATAGGGTCTCCTCTCTTCAGGTCACTTTTGTCTCCTCCCATCAGTGAAGCTAATGCACCAGCAATCTACTTAGTAGAGATTCCCAGAATGATGCAGCAAATCCACATTACTGAAAATTACAACTGTAATCTACCTCAACATTGTATAGGGTTTTATTTACTTTCTTTTGATTATCTGTTTAATAACATTGGACATTCTATTTCTATTTAATCAGGATCAGAATCAAAATTCAGGAGGCTCTTAAAGGAAACCAGATGCCAACAGTCAAAGATTTCCGAAGATTTTCACGAAATTATCAGGTTTCCAAGATGGTGACAGTCCCATGGTCTGAGGACCCTTTCTCAGCAAAATTAGAAGGAAATCTGCTGTTTGATCCAAGCAGCTATATAGCTAAGGAAGCCATGCTAAAAACAACATTAGAGTTATTTGGGCTGAAACCTCTGGATATATTTGAGGTATAGCAGCTTTTCTCCCTTCTTCCTGTTTATTTTTCCTACTCATGAATACTGACATCAATGTATTATGTTATTTACTGTTTTATTTAAATGCTGTATTGAAGCCAAAAGCTTTCAAAACAGACTATAGTTTTAAAAGACAAACCTATATAAAAATTTTACCCAACAAGCATAGGCTCACTACTTTCCAGTTCATCAAAATATATTATAAATGGTTTCAGTAATCAATTGGAATAGGAATAAAATTGCTAAAACTGCAGCTGTTGACTATCTTGATATCAAAGGACAAGGGTTCTGTATGCAGTGATGATCAAACACAACAGCAGTGAGCCATTAATTTTACATTTGAAATCTCCCATAAAGCTGAAGTCATTGTGTTTGTTTATTTAGACTGCAGCCCGATAATCAATAACCTGGAAATAAGTCAGTTCGAAATCACCAATAAATATGCTTAGAATTTCGGTTACCATCACTCAGAAATCTAATACTATTATCCTCTTCTTCCACAAATGTGTAATTCATTTGTTTGAAACAATTCAAACTTAAACACTGGAAGTCAATGAAGATTTAATAGGTAAAGAAAACAAAACAAACAAAAGGAAAGTAGCAATAAAAAATCTAACAAGTAAAATACTCCAAGATAGCCAATAGGTTTTTGCTGTTATAACAGCTTCACTACGTGTCTTTCCTAAACAAGACTGCATTTAATGGGGGCGGGAGGGGGGGTGTACTAAAGTTCTAAAATTTGCATTGCCATATGGAAAGAACAATTTATCTTCCAGAAGCCTTCCTAAACTGATACTTTTGCCAAGAAACACCTATAGAACTGCCACTGAATGTTCAGACAAGTTAACCTGGGCTTTCCAAGTGAAATCACTTTTATTTTCATTTGTTTGACCAGATTGGTTTGGATGGGAAAAACCTAGAGCCTACATTAGAAGCAATGTTTGGGCCAGGAGGGTTTTTCCCTGATGCTGCTACCAAAGCTTTGTACTGGGTTGATGGCAAAGTACCAGAGCAGTTTTCCCAAGTCCTTTTTGATTATTTTGGATACTCCAAGGATGGAAGACAGGATCAGGTATATGACTGTTTTCTTGATATTTTGTACTGTTAACTTTTAGAAATCAACATTAGAACCTCTGTAGAATATTTGGTCAAGTTTAGTACAATACTGAAATAATTGATTTACTATTAGGCTCAAAAGTTAACACACTTACTGGAGTAATAGGTTTCTCAGAATTACCTTTAAGTAGAAATGCTTAGGGTTAGGTATAGTGTTTATTTAATCTGAATTTGTATTTCCAAAGTCTTTTTCAATTTTTCTGCAACACAGAAATAGCATAAATAAGCCATTTGTAAATGTCCTGGTGTAAGGTGATTCCTTGAATACCCAACTAAATGAGCCTTTTAATAATATATAGAGTTTTCATATTCTAATGTTCCTTTTCTTATGTGCTCTCATTATATCAAATGTTCAGGCACAGTTGATAGTATATATCCTGGCAGCTGAAGTTCCTTGAGAAAAAGTAAGGTGTTCACCTTTTGAATTGTCCTCATATTCTTTGCCCTTTTACAGCAGAGATTTGTAAGCAAATTTTACAAGCTGACTGTACATGTTTCAAAGTATTTTTTTAAAAAAAAACTTTGAGAAATTGTGCTGATTAAGCAATAGTTGAAGCCTCAGACTTTTTCTACATGTAGATTAAATAAGTTTTATTTAAAATGTGATTCTCAGTCAAGCTGGTTTAAATTCTTTCTTCAAATGAGATCAGAAATTCTATAGTTTGATGCATTGCTTGTTAGCTATCAATATTTTCTGTGAACTCAGATATGTGTTTGACAAAGTGGTGGTGGTGGGGTTCCCATTTTTCTTGCTTTCTCAGGATATTATGAAAGAAATCATGCTTAATTTTGAGAAAACCGTTAAAGAAATCACCAACAAACCAACACCTGATGTCAAAGCCTACTTTAGAATCTTCCAGGAAGAATTGGGCTACTTGAAACTCAGTGATCTTAAGGTGTTGGGAAATCTGATTCTGAAAAGCCTTAAAACCTTGCAGACTATTCCTCAGAAGGTAAGTGTTCAAAATACTATACAGTGAATTCTACCCTCCATTTTTCTTTCCTATTCATTATTCAATCAAATTAACCACTAACCATTACCATTATACTCAGAGACAGAGATTTTGGTTTAAGTCTGTATACTTTGGTTTAAGTCTGCATCCTGTGTGCCCATTTAACCATGAAAAAACTCACACAATTCAGTGAGATGTCCTTCTGAGTTGTGAATAGAATTGCTAAGAGAGTCCAGTTAAATAAAAAACTATAGCTTTTATTCTGGATTTATTTCTATCTTACAATCAACATAAGAGGGGACAGTATGTAAGCACATCAAAGTAAAAGATTTGCTTCATGGAAATTGGATTGCTTAAGATGAACAAGCAAGATAGCTTTTGTTTTTAAGTAGTAATCATTTATTGTGCTGAAACCTGACAACCAGACTAGATGTGATGCCATACATACTATTACAGTTTGGGGAATGTATTTTAAAAAATGAAAAGCAGACCTGGGAATCTGATCTGGATACCAAACTCTGGGATGAGAAGGGATATTAGGCTTTTTGCTTTCTACTGGGGTCTATGTGAACTGAACAGGAAGTTTTCATTGGAACCCAAATGACAATTTTTCTTTCAGTGCAAATAGAAGGCAGATGGGAAGCCATCTAGACTGGAGTAGCAGGAACAAAAGACTAATGTCCCCTTATCCTGCCACGAGGGCCCTAATCCAGATTAGCACATCCCTTCCATCTAATTGATGTTTATTCTTTACAAAGAAATTCTTTTTGACCAATTTCATATTCTTCCTGGCTTTTATCATGCAATCCAGACTTTAGAAGCCTAGCAAAAGAGGGTGGTTTTGATGTGGAATAACTACATTGTTGCAGGGGTACTTTTTGTTGTAGAATTTTTACAGAAGTAGTTATAGAAAGCATTCATAGCAGGAGATTGTTACTATGCAAGTGACAATGTCCATAAAGTCTTTAGCAGTTACCAGATCATGGAGATCTTCACTCCCAGCACTGCAAACTCTGAGCCGTGCTACTGGGAGTGGTGATACGCAGTATCTAGAAAGCTGCAGGTTCCCTACTGTCAAATTACACTTCTTGTTCAATACAGAAACAGATGCATGATTCCCCTGCCCCCAGTAAACAAGTCCCAGCCAACGTTAAACTAACATTTTTTAAAGGAAAACCAGCAGAGGGAAGCAAACTTCCTCTAAATCACCCATTTGCTTTGATTTGGAGACATGTTACAATCCTGAGATATATTTGAACAAGGCTTAATATAACTAAACAACCCATCAATTATTTTTGTTATTTTCTTTGTTTGTACCTAGAAAGGTTAAGTCAGATATTTGTCAGAATCTTCCTTGAATCTTTATTCAGTTGTCAAAGCTTGAAGCTAGAGAAACTCCTTAGGAAGGATGCAAATGTAACACACAATTCCTTTCTTTATCTATTTGCCTGCAGATTGTCCAGGCCATTTCCCAGGGGTCTCAGAATGATCTCATGATTCACTACATCTTCATGGACAATGAATTCGAGCTGCCAACAAGTGCAGGACTGCAGCTACAAGTAGCTTTGTCTGGAGTAGCCACTCCTGGAACAAAGCTTGGAATGAAGATTTCACAGAGGAATGTGAGTTTTGCTTTCAGATTAATTTTGAAGTTTCTTGAACAAGCTACAACACGATAGAAGTAAAGTGAAGTAACTGGTGAGCTAGTGCAAAGAAGAGCCACAATTTCAGGGGGCTCTCATTACTTTTTACAATGCCCCTTTAACTGCAGGGGTTACAGGGGTATGTGACTTGCCTAAAATCAGGAGGAGCTCTTGGGGTAGGATTTGGGGCTTTCATTAATGGCTTACCTATCTTTCCCCTACACTGGAAGCAGTGCTGCATGGTCACAAAGTCTAGTGTTACAGCAGAATTATGATGGTCATGTAGGAAGGTACTTAGTTAATGTTCCTTAGGTAAGTTAAAGTATATTACAAATTGTTTTTCTGTGGAATCTGTATTGGAGTTCCTTATAAAGGGTAGCACTTCCATGGGAACAAAACAAAAGAAAAAAGAAAAAACAATGGAAGCTCACTGATATATAGCTTAGGCCCAGGTTATCTCAGAGAACATTTTTCTTCTATGATCCTCATAACTCACCAAAATTGTCAGGCAAGATTTATCTTTGGATATTACCAGCTCATCTGATGGTGATATGAGACCTGACCCTCTCAGTCATTATTCCTAAACTGTAGAATACACTCCTTATTAGGGGACTATTTTCTATAGAAGCCTACAAGGGAACCTTACAGACTTGTCTTTCAGCTTGAATTTTAATAATAGTCAGTTAAAATGATTTTAATATAACATGCTTTAATGTGTTATTTTGTTTTAACGCATTTAAATTATTCTAAATTTTAATGCAAACTGACCTGAGTTGTTTAGAATGGGGAATATAGAAATGAAGTAAATGAATACTTCATTGTATAATAAATGCAGTGCTGAAGACTGCATTGACTTTGAAATATGCTTGTTTCAAGCTTAAATGGTTCCAACGTATGAAAATCAGACTTTCAGAGAAATGCAAACACCAAACAACATGGAGTCTTTGGAGTTCTCTGAGCTTGGTTGTTTTCTTGCAAATGTTCCGTTACCCGGCTAGGTAACATCTTCAGTGCTAGCCGGGTTACAGAAACTTTTGCAAGAAAACAACCAAGCTCAGAGAACTCCAAGGACTCCACAGTTCAATCCTGAGCTACACATATTCCCTTCTATTGGTACCAAACAATGTTTTGTAAATTCCCTTCAGGATCTGAAATTTATTGTCTGTCAGCCTGGTGAGGGAAATACACTATCAATAAGTAAACTGTCAGAATCAGAAATGAATTATTCTGGTTTGTCACACCATGAAAAATGCTTGGTGAAAATGAAACAAATGTTTGTGTCTTATTTGTATCCTGTAGATGCAAGCAGAGTTGATTGTTAAACCATCTATGGCAGTTGAGTTTATAACTCATTTAGGAGTGAATATCCCTGAATATGCTAGAAATGGTGTGCAGATGAACACCAACATATACCATGAATCTGGAATTGAAGCCAGTGTTGCATTGAAAGCTGGACACCTTAAACTCACCATTCCTGCACCAAAGGTCCCAATCAAGGTTTTCAGCATCAGGTATCATAACAGTTCTGTAAACAACTTCTTTTTTAGTTCCTGATTTTTCAAATATCATACAGTATTCTCCTATTCAGCCATAAAAACTTAGGGTGTAGTACAGGCTTTGTACATAGATGTTCTGCAATAATTTTTAGCCTGCTTGTTACAAAAACTGTTTCTGGGTGCAATTATGATATACTAATCTAGTCATTATCTTTCTCTACATTTCCAAAATGAAATTAGTCTGTGAATTGCTATAAAGTTGCAGTTTTCTACCTTGCAAAGAATAGTTTAAGCAGTCTGAATACCTTGGACTGGGACTATCAGTTTAGAGCTTTTAATTTGTTTTCTAGTGCTCCCTAGAAAGACATATAAACCAGATTCAAAGATGATATATGGAATGTTAATTAACTTTCCAAGAGCAGGTTTACAGATTTGTGCAAAATACTTTAATTTATGATCATATGCTCTTCTTTTTAATTGCTAATCGGTTGAATCAGTAGAAAGGCTCATCTGTCCCTTTTCTTTTTACAGCAATGTCTTGCACTTGGTCACCCCAACCCGAACTGACGTGATTCCTCCCCTGATTGAGAATAGAGTGTCACGAAACTCTTGCTCCCCTTTCTTTACTGGTCTTAAATTTTGTACCAGAATAGAATATTCCAACGCTAGCTCTACAGATGCAGCACCTTACTATCCATTGACGGGGGAAACCCGGTAAGATAGCCCATTTGTCTTTCTCTGAATAAGTTACCAACTTCTCTTTGACATTTCAGACCAAACACAAATCCTTCGCTAAGCCCCTCCTCACCATCCTGAAAGCCAGGAATCTATTTTGTAATGAACTCTTCAAGATGCTGAATTATTTGCCCATCGTCAATTTTTACCTTTCCATGATATAACCTCAGAACAGACTATCCTGATGCCAAATATTTTATATTCTACTGTATATCTTTATATTTTATTGCAGCAGTCTTTACTACAAACATCTTTAGAGTTGTTTTAATGTGATATGTTTAGATAACTAATAGCAATTGATGTTCTATTTCCTTATCCCGAAAATATCAGCATTGTAGGACCCTGCTCTCATCATCTCTGCCACATGCTCTTTGATCATTTTGTATATAAATCCCATATGCAAAACCATGTGTGTCTGAAGTTGGGAGTATATCATTAGAATGGCAGCTAGAATATAATGCAAATAGGAGAAGTGGGGGGGACAGGAATATATCACACACCTAATTATTGATAGATCAAAGTGAACTTAATATTGTTAAATTTTCAAGGTCATAACAGCTTTCACATATCTATTAGATATTAAAATGCAGCTTAAAGTGTACATTTTAATACCTCTTAAATATAACTTAAATCTGTATTTGTGTATTTTCAAATAGATTTTGCAAACTAATTTAGAAACAGGTGAGAACAGTTTTATGGGAGGAAGTAGCCCAAACCAGAAATAAGACCATTCTTCCACTCCTTTAAACTATGTAGGACTAAAGATATCTGGGGCTTATGAAATTCCATATAAATTACAAAGGCTCGACATTACCTACAATGGAAGGATGGTAAAGTTGATGGAGTTAGCTGAGATGGCAAAACTGACAGCTTTATTTAGAGAAAAAAAAATGATTAACTTTAAGGCCAGTTGGAAGCCCCCTTTGGACTTTTTGCAGGAGACAGAAAAAATGAAATTATGATATATGGATTTGATGATTAGTTAAATTAATAGATTATACAAAATGTGTATGTTAAGAAGTAGTTTTAGAGTAAGAGGTTATTCTATGATTTATCTACATCTGCTGCATAAGAAGTCAGAAGTTTTTCTTTCTGTATTTCATTTTTTCTCTTCCTTTTATTTTCTACCACTTTTGTATTCTTTCTCTGTCTCTTTCTTGCTCTCTACTTTTCTCCTTGACTATTAGTTCTTGTTTGCTTTTATCTTTATGCTTTTTATAATAAGGTTCTTAAAAAATGAAATTCCATATCAATTAAAACTGGCTGTTGTTATGCAAGTCCAGATATTAGCCAACAGCATAAACAAATCTTTTAGTATGCTATGATTTTTTTTAAGATTACATCGCTGTTAAATACATCTTATGTTAATGCTTTTTAAATAACTATCAATTATAGTTATTTTTACTGTGATATCAAAATGGTAATATATTTTTTTCCATCTGGACTATTATTCCATTTATTTATTCACAATGAGATATTTTCTTTCCATTTTAATATAATCAGGTTTGAAATTGAACTACAACCAACAGGAAAAGTAAAGGAGTACATTGCAAGTGCTAATTATGAACTAAAGAAAGAGGGGAAAGACTTGGTAGACACTTTAAAATTCATTGCTCAAGCCAAAGGTAAGAAGCTGTGTCATTTGTTTTACAGTAATGTAAAAACCTTCAAAGATTTGCCTAATAATAAATCTCTTCTCTGACAAAAATTCCAGTAGAAATGCATAAAATCACTAGTTCTCCTGTCAACAAATCTTGGAAGATCAGGATGCAGGTAATTTTAGCGATTTTAATGAAAGCAACACACATCAAACATCTGTCAAAACCAAATGGGAAACCGCACCATGGATTTAATATCAGTTTGATTCATGGTCTAGTCTCTTTAATCAGCTGCCAATCATTGTATAAAAAGATCAAGTGATTTTAAGCACATGGTGTGAATGCCTAGGGAAGGGTTTCCAAACAAAGATTTTCAGAATTTAAGATCTGAACTGAAAGACATTTTCAACTGCATTGATGTTGGCCATTTATTTTTATGGAGCACATTTGTAACCCATGTGTTAACATTATATGTTTCAGGTATAAAAGAAAGTGAAGCCAAAATGGACTTTGTATACAATCGAGCCAAAAGAATTTTTACCACTGACTTGGAGATCCCCAGTTTGCGCATCAATTTTGGCACCAGTCTCAGAATTACTGATTCTTCCAGTCAAGAAAAGAAAGCACATTCCTTTATCTTAGACATTATCAACAAGAAAAGCCCTGAAATTACCATTACAGGAAAGCTAGGGTAATGCTACTTTCCCCTACTAATTCTTACAGAAATATCAGGACTGATAACATGCAAATAGGCCTTTATACCGGATGTGAGGGCGATCTGGCTGCGACATCTGTCACCCCATTGATCGCCAGGGTTGATTCGGCCTTTATACCTCAAGGAATATTGTGAAGGCCCTACTGACTGCTGAAAGGGGTGGGGGAAGAATGTCTGAGCAGTTCCACTTGGCCTAGTATCTACTCTCCAATCCATTTCAAGTGATTTGAAGTTGGTTGTCCAATTGTCTTCACTTGTGTCGACCTTAGAACTATGAGAACAGGCCAAAAATAGTGACTAGGCAATACTTCCTCCAGTTGACTGATAAGAGAATACCAGTATCATTGGTCAGTGTCCTATCTCCTGAACTATGGCAGCATTTAGACTAACAAAAATCCCATCACCCATGCTCCACACAGAGAAGGGAAAAATCACTTTGCTCTCACTCCCAACCCTTATTCCCAATACATTTCATGTTCATGTCTCTGGTCATTTTAAAAAAGCTACAAAGTGAGGCTAAAACAGCCAGGCCAGCAAGGATTTTTTTTTCTGCATATAAATTCCCACTGAAAACTGATATCATATAAATCTGTAGTTTTTACAGCAAGGACCTTTTCCCAGCAGCTGCTAATCGCGTTTATAGATAAAAGAGTAGAGCCGCTATGTATGAGGGTGGGTGGCAGAGAGGAAAGGTTGAATCCAGAGGCTGGGAAGCAATGTGCAAATTAGAGTATGCTGTTTATATCAGGACTGAAAATCAAGCATGATGTTGCTTTTTTTTTTTACAAGGATTGTGAAAATGGCTTGAAACTGACTAGAAGGCTTAAGGGGGGGTTT